TACATATTTGTTACGTTTGGAGGACGTGTTTTGCAACAAACAATCGGCATTCCCATAGGAACCAACTGTGCCCTCTTCTTGCCGACTTGTTCCTTTATTCATATGAATCTGACGTCATACGGGAACTTTTTAGGAAGAAAGAACAGAAGTTAGCAGTATCCTTTAGCTTTTCATTCCGCTACATAGATGATGTTCTCTCACTAAATAATTCAAAATTTGGTGACTATGTTGAACGCATCTATCCCATCGAACTTGAGATAAAGTATACAACAGATACAGTTAAGTCTGCCTCATATCTTGACTTACATCTAGATATTGACAATGAGGGTCGGTTTAAAACAAAACTTTATGACAAAGGAGACGTTTTCAGCTTCCCAATTGTGAACTTTCCATTTTTATGTAGCAACATTCCAGCAGCGCCTGCATACGAAGTATATATCTCCCAGTTGATATGACACTCCAAGGCTTGTTTTTCCTATAATGATTTCCTTGATAGAGGGTTGCTGCTCACAAGGAAGCTATTAAACCAAGTGGTGAAGTTGAAATCATCCCTTCGTAAATTTTACGGACGCCATTACGAGTTGGTTGACCGTTATGGAATATCCGTTTCACAGATGATAGCGAATATGTTCCTAATGTCGTAAAAACAATCCCATCCCCTTTTCCCGAATGTGAACTACCTAATTAAACTACATCACGTAAAATTGGAAAAACTGTTCCACAGATGACGATGGATAAGTATCAAAAAGATCGTAACATGTGACATCTGCACTTTCCGCTGCCTTGTGGAAATATCTACAAAGACAGAAACAGTCAGTATAGAAATAAATGAAAACACATATATATTCTCCATACACATGATTATGAGTAGAAGGGTGGGTTAACTGCACTTAATTTCGAGCTTTGAATGTTTATAAGGTGTAGTTTATTAAATAAAGACATCTACTGCCGCTTTTGAAATTCATGCAAAATTAGTTGCAACTTTAAACTCAGACTGTAACTTAAGTTAAGGAACCTATTCGGACTTGTCCAACGGCAAATGTTTATTAAAATAAATAAACATACAAACGTGAATGTGTACAAGGTAACATAGGCACGTGTATTAGATAAAGGAATACAAACATATTTTTACATTTTATTTGCATTTTTGTTTCAAATTATCTTTAGTGGGAATAAAATTTAACTCCTAATGTTTTGGTCTACCGCCAACATAATCGTAATATCATAACATTTACATGAATGATAAAACATATTGGATTGTTTAAAAGAAAAATCATGCACTCTACAGAAATTTCGGGTAACTCTAGCGTGATCTTCTGATAATTATAATGTGTTTGGATGTTATCTTGTAAATAAACCTTGATAGTCAGTAAAACTGATTTGAAATTTAAGATCTTCAATTCATTGCATTAATCGCTAATGCTTTGTTGATTTCTTATTTGAGGACGATTTGGTTAACTGGATGACTGACATATATATATTTTTTTATTTATTTTTTATCATACAAAACAAAAAGTACATGCTTTATTAGTTTTGACCCCTCGATCATGTTGGTCGATGTCAGAAAATATTGAGTGGAGTGAACAAACACACAGCAAAACGCAGTCAAAATCAGTTGAAAAGAAGTCCGAGTCCGATGTTAGAATAGGTAACAGAAACAATTAAGCAAAATGACAATGATAATATAACTTAGAAAAGGACTGCTAGCAATTATTGACATGCCAGCTCCAGACCTCAATTAAACTGATCGAAAGATTATGTCTTCATCATATGAAAATCAGCCACAATACCTCCAGTTAGGGATTGAGTATCATGTCATTATAAATTATACGAGAAAAACTTAACCCGTGTCATGCCAACAACTGGTTTTAGAACAAATGTGTTCATTTCCGATGCAAAGATTCTTTGAGTGAATCAGTATTCATTTTAAAAAATGCCATCGTTAATGAGTTAATGACTTGACAACAATATAGTAACTATATACCTTGTGAACAAGTCTGTTTGAATGTGTGGTGAATGGCGACATTTTTGCGCTTTGTATAGAATATTACCATAAAAGATGGGATGTGATTTACGGTAAAGTATGAGATGTCTGCACGTTGATTTATATTTACAAATAATGTCCTTGTACCTATGAGAAAATTAATTAAAAGTTTGTAATATCGAAAAGCCTGGTGTAATAATTTCTCAGTAATACATATATTTCTTTTGTTATAACCAAATACGTTGATACACGAGCGAATCGAACAAGTTGAGATATATAAGAACCATACGATGTGCTAAGGGAACGTCATCATCTAAAACGGATAATTAACAAAAGGAATGAAAAATAATCTCTTTTATCGTAAATATTAGTAATAAGCTTCCCGTAAGAGATATGAATATTAAGATCCAAAAACGGACAATGTACATTGTTAGTATTAGCTTTAATTATAGTTAGTTCAACAGGATAAATCTTTTTAGTAGATATAAGAAGATGTGGTATGAGTGCCAATGAGACAACTCTCCATCCAAGTCAAGATTTATAAAAGTAAACCATTATAGGTCACATTACGGTCTTCAACATGGAGCCTTGGCTCACACCGAACAGTAAGCTATAAAGGGCCCCAAAAATTACTAGTGTAAAACCACTTAGTGTACATTGAAGTAGTCATTATATGATGAACATGTTTTAAATAGCAATACTTGACTTATATTCTTTAGAAATTCAAATAGACCTTTACTTTACACATCTTAAACTTTAAATTTAGAACGCGAATATGAGAACAAATCGATGGCTTGTATGAAATATTTCCATTCTAATAGGAACATTAACTCTAATAAATCTATGACTTGCATATGTACCTTTAATGATCTCTAGAAAAATGTGTTTAATCCTTATAATTTTCAACCAAAACATTGTTTTCGTTGGCCACTATTTACCGTCAAATCTACAGCTGACATATCGTAACTTCTAAGGAGTGAGCCGCCATATCGACTTTCATAAATGCATCATTGTGCCAAAAATAAAAATAAATAGAAAATAATACAACACCTTCCTCAAAACTCCATGTTTATACAATATTATCCGATCTTTGGGCGTACATGTGACGGAATAACCTTCAGCTTGAGAGTTTTCATTCGTATTACGATATTTTTTTTAAATGACGTCAATACATCAAGAGCATTCATGGAATTTCGAATAGTTTTATTTCATTTTGATTTTGTATTTTTTCGAAGCTCTAGTGCTTTAATTATTTTGCTATGCATTAGAATAGACGTAGGAGTTTTTTTCAATTATTTGAAAACATCGAAATTGCACATAGGTTATGATACATGTGTATTCATGTGGGAGGTACATTATATGAGCAATTAATATGTACATCTCTAAGTCAGTGCAATGTTAAGATATATCGAGAATTTGATAAGGCTGTTGTTTACAAAGCGAAAGAGACATGTCATATTGAAATAAGATTTTAAGTATTTCTACGACCATTAATCAAACAAAATGTATTCTGTATATATCAATAAGCTACAATATATCAGGTAGCTGTGGCACTTTATATTATGTAAACAATTAATATATAACAAATGTATTGCAAATTGCACAGTAGAAACTCACTTATTATTATTATTTTGAATATATGAAGGAGGAGAGGGAGGAACATGGAAGTTGAATACGTCAATTGGCCAGGAGATTGCTTTTCATAACGATATTCAAACTTCAAAAAAGTATTATTTCGTACTGCTTTACTTGATTGTGTATTTTAGTTCTTCGTCATACTGATAATACAGACTGTCTTCTTCTGAATTGATTGATATTTAACTATTTAGATTTAGAATTTAGAGAGTATCGTTTTAATCAGATAACCCCTTTAATTTTGTAAGTACGTGTTTTTGACTTTATTACTTTTAACATACCTCTCCAATTTCTGTTATGCATATTCAAGCATGCAATTTGATAAAAAAAAAAGGGTAATAAAATTGTCGTTTTCTCAGATGAATAGAGATCAGCTTAGCTACAAAAGGTGAAAGATGAGTACGTCTGAAGTTGTCAAATCGAATTAATACCCCTTGCATTAAAATGAAAGAGCTGATAGATTTTTCTGTTATACTGGGGTACATTGTACTTATACGAGATTTGGGAAATTTTCATTAATTGTTATAAAAATGCACTACTTTGATACTTTGTTATCATGCCATCACGGTGATGAAATGCTTGTGTGCCTCTTGAGAAGGGTTACGGCCAGAAATCACCTTTAAATTGTAGCCAACAAAAGACACATGTCAAATCAATGATAAAATTTAACAAGATTTATCATATATGTTTACAAGAAGTATTATACAAATTGAAATGCCAACTTAACTGTTTAAATATATGTCCGCGATCCTTTGTCTTTTCTTTACCCGGAATTCTTCTGTTAATTGTACAGAATGTAATCCAATGTAATACATATGTCCAATAAGTTCGCAATCTAGTATGATGTCGTTCGTAAACAAAAATGTCAATCCAACAACTCCAAAGATCTTCTGAGAATACAACTATATTAATGTCTGATCTGTTTAATTTCGGTGTCTTTATAAATAGTTACCACGGAAACTTCTAGAACACTGTAGAATGGAAACTTCTAGTACACTGTAGAAGGGAAATTTCTAGAATACAATGGAAGTTTAAATTAAGCATCGTCGATAATGATCATTCTGGAATCATTATGTAAGTCAAATAGAAAGTTCTAATCATTCCATCAGTATCTATGATTGTTCCAGGGATTTCTAAACTGCACAGTTATAACAATATTTTGTAAACAATTATAAGGCCACACAAAACAAATAAGGCCGACAAATAATCATAATAATTACAACATCATAACAGTATATGGTTAAGTCATTGTCAGGAATAGCATTTATAAGAAAAGACATTAACAACGAAAAAAATAAATAATTACATTATAACATACTTTATTTTTAGCCGACACTTTTAAACGATTCAAAGTATCCCGCTTTTAAATTTATTCATAACGAGTCACTGTACCTATGACGAACTACACTATATTTGTTCATAAACAAGGATAAGAAAATGTGTTTGGACAAATATACATGAAATAGGTGGTAACAGAATAGCAGGTAAACTTTAACTTAATATCATTATCCTATAAATGACGAAAACGTTATCTTTCTTAAGATATTGTGTTTGATTGAAAATAGAAAGTAATATTGGGAAATTTTGTATTATAATCAACTTCCTTGTTCGAAAGATATCGCTTTTAACAACATCTCGCATATTTGTTTAGATAAGGATTTTGTCGACTGATCTACTCGATGTAGTGTTGGTCTTTGCCTACATAGCGTTGGTTGCTATGCTGACAGGCGAATGAGACGTTTTGACATTAGTACTGTACGTTTCTTTTACAGAGTGTATTGTGCTGACATAACAGTTTCTCCACAGCTTACTGTAAACCCGCTTTCTAAAGTGGCATGGAAAAGTGATTGGTGAGTCCGACGAACCGTTCGTCCGTCCGTCTATCAGTTCATCCTTTTGACCTACATTTGCGTCACTCACAGAACCTTTAGTTTCAACTTGTTTTTATTCGGCGTATATGCTGTTTTACAGGACAGGTGGTATGGATGGTATATGAACATTCAAATAATTTACTATTATTTTAATTAAAGAACGAATGAATATACATTGGTAACTGTTTATACAGTAAAGAAAAAAATCGTTTCTAGTACATGTAGTTAAATGTGATATTATTATGAAGATACATAGGAAAGGGACCTACTTTATTTATTCTCATTTGTTCATCAGCTTTAAGTGATAATGACTTATATACAGAAATACAGTATCTGCTTAAAGTTTTGATGCATTTCCCTCGCTATGCTCACCAAAATTACTTATTTCATATCTGTTTATCAACTGAAACCAAATATTAATATAACATTGCAATCATCAATTACTTGTTACCAGGTATAAGAAGTTGTAAGCTCTTATATAAACAATTAACATCAAAATCGGATGCTGACATTCCAACAAAATTATTTGACACTTTTGAAAGATTTAGTTAGCATAATTAATTAATTGATTAATAGATATGCGAGAAGGACTTTTAAACGAACTAAGATTAAAGATATTGTTATCGACGTTAAGAAAATTAAATCATCTTTTTCATTGCTTTCAGTATTTCCAAATGGCTTCAGGAAAACATATACCCTGTGGTCCATGTAGGTTTGATGACGTCACGAAGGATGCGGGAAGATGGTGCACTAATTGTGAAGAAGGATTGTGTGAAGATTGCGAAAACGTTCACAGAAAAAGCAAAACATCAAGAAACCATCAAGTTATTTCACTAGAAGATTACCGCAAGATTGAAAATGTTTCAATCTCCCAGGTTTGTGAGCACCACGGGGAAAACCTAGAGTGGTTCTGTAAAACTCACGACGAGGTCCTCTGTGTTGTTTGTGTCCCGTCAAAACACAAGTCATGTTCTGATGTTATACCAATAACTGTTAACTCAGCTAATTCGAGACAATCAACTGCATTATTTGACCTGGAAGAAACAATTGGGAGAACTCTGCGCAACGTGAAACAATGTATCAAGAATCGTGAATCCGCTACAAAAGAAATCGAGAAACAAGAAATAGTGGTCAAAACCATGGTTCTTGAAACGAGAATGAAAATAAACAGCCACCTAGACAGGCTACAGGAAAAATTGTTGAACGAACTTGGATTAACATCTCACACTTGTAAATCAAAATATATGAAAATCCTTCAGAAGCTAGAATCAACGAAGGAAATGCTTATCAAACTAAAAGAAGAAACACTCCACATGAAACAATTTTCTTCTGACATACAAGTGTTTCTGGGAACGCGTCAGTTCAATAAGCAGATCAAAAGCGAAATAAAATCCACCAAGAGTGAACTTGGTTCTACAAAAGATTATGAATTAAAAGTAGCTATTCATAGTATAATCGAGAAATTATCAAACGAAGTTGAAGAGTTTGGACAAATAAAGGTCTCTGAATGCGCCTCCATGTTAGATTTCAAAGAACAAAAAATCGATCAAGCTCAGATTGGAATCACTATCCCAACACCAAGCAATATATCCGACATTAAGCTTCAGGTTATCAAAACATTTCAAATAGAGAAAACAAATGACATGAATATTTATGGTTGTATCATATTGCCTAACGGTCATTTGTTGATGACGCATAAACAAGAGAATCAGTTAAAAGAGTACAGTGATACAGGTGAACATATCCGAGACATTTTAGTATCCGGCAAACCGTACGATATTGCCGTGATAGATCTTAATCGTATTGTTGTGACGTACGGGGACGCATTATACCTAGAAATAATGAATAACAATACTTTCCATATTGAAAATAGCATCAGTTTAAAAAATAGTTGCTTGGAGGTATCTCACGAGGATGGGAAACTTTACGTAGTATATAAAAACGAGATACAAGTCATGGATCTATCAGGGAGACAACTCAAAAAAATTAAAGCAGCAGCTAAAGGTGTAGCGTGCATCAAAACAAGCAGAGACAAGATATTTTACGCAGATTACAACACGAACCAAATACTCTGTTGTCGTTTGAATGGAGAAGAATTATGGAAGTTCAAATGTGACTTGATTAAATTTCCTCACGATATAACAGTAGACTCTTACCATAATGTGTACGTTGTAGGTTATATTTCCAATAATCTAACAATTATACAACATGACGGGAAAGACAGTAGGACGTTACTGACAGAATCAGATGGACAGAATCGTCCAACAGTTGTGAACTTTGATACAGATAAAAGTACATTACACATTTGCTCTGAAAGAGGAAATGTTACCTTGTACAAAGTCGTTTAACAACTTAAATGTTCAAATCCTATTGATTCCATCGTTCTAGACAATTGGGATTTGCAGATGAACCGTAAACACTATTCTGCAGTATTTCACTTTATAACAATGCCTTCGTTATAAAAAAAAGTTACTTTGGAATGTGTGGTTAGAATAAATGTAGTATAGTCGTCTTTGATATTTCAATAGTTTGGTAACCGGATCATTTCATTACATTAGTTACATATTTTCAAACAACAAATTTTTCAAATATGTTGGCTTCGAACATCACGGAAGAGACAATAGATGTCAACATGTGCATCTTAGATATACTTTTTGTTATTACTTCCAGTAGGTCGATACCACTTCTAGTGGACTGTTTGTCCCAAAGGGTAACACCAACCCAGTAGCCAGTACTTCGATACAGACATATAAATATGTAAATTATTTTAAATTGAAAAAAACATGTCTTCCTCGTGGATACCTCTGATCTTTTATTCGGATTTATATCATATAACTAAATCTTAAATTTGAATTTCTTTTTAAAGTGAAATCTTAAAGTGATTTGTTTCCTCTTTACTACGTTTCTCACTGGATTGTTCCGTTTACATCAAAGTACCATTCATTGCTCTTTGGAGATAAGCTTATAAAGTTTGGAGTGTATGACGCAAAAATGTTATTCTTTTTTAATTTGAAAGCCTTTTTGTCAGTTGACTTCTTACAAAACAATGCATGTGACTATAGCTGATAGCGGAAAAGTTTGTTATTGGACTGAACATGTCTTAAGGAGACGTTATGAAAAGTGGTGTAAATCGTTGAAAAAAAATTCTTAACAGCTAAAAAGGACAAAAAATTTCCATTTGTGTTGTTTATTTTGAGCACCCTTAAAATGTATAACTTTGTAAAAAAAACTTTGATTAAGCCTTTTCTGTTACAACTTTATGAAAAAAAAATGTGATAGGAGCTTCAAACAATGATTTCGACAATTTCACATAGCAAGAGTCCAAATGGTTTAAGCTTATTTACAAAGGATGCATGAGGTATGACGATTACAATTTTTCAATATATCTAGATGGTCTACTTTGTTAATTGAGTTTTTATTGTTTTATTAATTTTACATTAAAAAAATACACAATGATTTGAGTTTTAAACTCTAAACACAGTACTTCGTGAACATTAATGTGATTTAAAATCCAGGTAGGTTAAATTTGTTATAAGATGCTATATATTATTTAAATAATAGAATAAAGAAATGTTTTATCATTACACATAAGTCCAAATACATTACAGTTTAAAGTGTGAAAGTGTATGCACTTGTTTTGAATGAACTATTCATTTTTTTGTAAAATTTCCAGTGAACTCTAATAAACTAGTAAAAGGTCTATGAACAAGTTAAATGTTTTGATTTCTTAAGCTGCGTTTTTCTTCTTTTATCTTGTTGTTTTGTTTTTAGTTCAAATAACTAATATAATATCCCAACTTAGACAAACTTTCAGGCGTTTTTAAATGTCCCTCCCCCCCCCCCTGAATATCATTTAGAAGCTAGAATCAACAGAAGAAATGCTTACCAAACTGAGGAAACAAACACTATAAATGAAGCAATTTTCGTCTGACATACAAGTGTTTCTGGGAACTCGTCACGTCAATAAGCTGATTGAAAGCGAGATAAAATACATGAAAGGTGAAATTAGTCCTATTAAAGATTATGAAGTAAAAGAAGAAAATCATAGTATTATCGATAAATTATCAAAATTTGTGTGATATAAAGAAAACTAAACCTTAGAATATAAAGATAGAATATGAGAAGATAGCTCTTATGATGAGCTTTCAGAAAATAAAAAGAAAATTTTGGGTCACCGCACTCGTTTTCTTGCTACAAAACAAAATAGGTAAATTCATAACACATTCCTTTATAAAAGTAACTTTATCTAAGTTATCTCCCCTTGAAGGGCAAAGTTGAAAACAAATTGAATCAAACCAAAAATATTCTGTATTTGTAAGAAACAGTCGTAAAAATATCATAAAACATAATTTTCTTCATTTCGTTGAAAAGTTTTAGAAATGAATTACATTCTTCTCGCGAATTTTGCCTATTTCATTAAAGATCTATACCGTTTATTTCCTACTATTTCAAAACCCAGGATAGCGGAAGACACCCGATCTACCTTAATGAACAGTTAGTGTATATCTAAAGACACTAAGGTTCATGGAGAGTTGACCTGATATAAATGATTTTCTTTCGAGGTCCATTATAACTAATATTCGTCCAATCCAGTATTGAATTGGAAGTGTTTATGTTAATTTTATATCTTCATATTTAATAAGTTTTGGATTTTCAAATATTTGTTTTTGCTTCGAGCATTTCTGAAAAGACATTATTTGTCGAATTGCGATATATAATTTATCAATTTCAATTAATTAGCCTTATAATGTAGTACAGTTCTACAATTCTCTACAGGGAGTTCTCTGGTTGTGTTCTGCAAAAAAAAAAAAAATAAAAAAAAAAATACCGAACTCCAAGGGAAATTCAAAACGGAAAGTCCTTTATAAAATGGCAAAATCAAAAGCTCAAACACATATAACAAATGGAAAACAACTGTCATATTCCTGACTTGGTACAGGCATTTCGTTAAGTAGAAATTGCTCCTGATAATATGTTAAAAGTGTAATGTTTCATCAATATTCGTCTTGCTGTTAGAAGACGCGTTTATAAGGCATATGGACAAAGGTCGGACAGATGAACGGACATAGTAAATCCTTTATTCCTCCCACAACTTTTTTTGTGGGTGAATAATAATCATGAAAAGAAAGAAATAAATGTAACAAGCAAGCTCACTAGCCCAACACCACTGAAAGGTATTACTATAAAACAAATTGTTGCGTCCATTTTCCATTCTCTTTGAAAAAATTAATAAATCCAAGATTCTCAAGCTATCCAAATAAGACACAAGTATTTATATTCCTATCTTAAATTTAGTTATTCAGTTCTAATAATCAATATGTATTCATTTATATATCAAAAACTAAAAAAGAGGTCCTAAAGAGCCTGTATCGTTCACCTGGATCTATACCAATTCATTATTTAGAACCTGGATGATGTCAATAATTTGATGTTAAGTTAACTCGTCAATTTGTCAATTCTTTCATTTGTTGGTAAGTTTAATTAAGGAAAAAATATTTCAGTGTTTAGACAACATATTTGTTTATCAATGCACATCTGTATTACTCGTCATAAACATTATCATAAATCATTATATTATATTGTGTAAAACAATGAGATAAAGTAAGTCCTTAACCACCTTGGTTTATTAATAATGATGTTTTTAATTATATGTATTCATCAATTGATAAGTTCATTAACATGTGTTCAAGTGATGCAACATCAAAATCTATTTTTATAAATTAACTGTTTATACAACTTTGGATTGTGTTCGAAATACTAAGGATTTTCTTCCCAGGATAAGTAACCTTAATTGTATTTAGAAAACCTTTCGGAATTTTGGGTCCTTAATGCTCGGCAACTCTGTTCTTTATTTGGCCTTTTTATTCTTTTTTTTAAGAACGTCACTTTTGTAATAGGAAAGTGGGTCTGTCGTACAAAAGTATAAGCCTGGGATTTTTCAGTCCAATTATCAAAATGCTAGCAAGTAATGATGTTTGTGTAACATTAAAGTAATGATTGACCTTTGGACCTGAATTAAACCAACTTAATTTAATCTAAATAATTTTCAAATTTGGATTTTCCAACAACAGAAATATTTTGTTTCGAGTAGATGAGCAATCCACCGCCGTTCCTTGAACTATACATCTTATCGCTTGATTAAGTTCGAAAAGTGTTGACTAGTTTTATCACTGCAAATCATTTGACTATGATTAAGATGTGATTCAGTACAAAACATTGAACAAATTTTATCTTGTTTCTACCAAAACGCATATTATCATTAAATATTGAAATAGACTTTTCGGAGAGGTTAGTTTCTAATACTGAAGGTGGTAATAGTTCATGTATCAGTGGACCAGGTTTTGTTCCAATTCTATCAATTATTTACACGAATGTTAATGCTAAAAAAAAAACAGTGTTGATTGTTTGACTTAGGCTTAGAAATTGAGAAGACCGGCGAAGACGAACGAGTACCGAAGGGTAACTAGAAAATAAGTTCATAAGTTTCAACTATTTAAAAGAAAGTTCAAGCATTTCATTTCAAGTACTCGGCTAAATTTATTTCCATTGGTGTTTATATTGAACTGTTAGCCAAAAGACTAGAATGACTTTAGTGTGATGTTAAGGACTTTTGAAATATGCAAATAAATAAAGGTAAAGCGATTGAACACAGCGAACCCCATTATCTGAATGAATCAATACAGTTCAGATATTTATTCATTGAATCCATAAATAAAAGATTGAAAGACTACAAATGATTCAAACATTCTGATTGTAGGCGAGAACACTTCCCCGGATTGTTTTATTTGATGATGAACCCTCTTAACATATTGATTTGTTTCTTATCATGCAAAACGATAGCCAGGACTTGGATAATAACATACAGCCTTGTATCCAATCTACCCACCAAAATCCCTTCCATAGGGCGAAATTTATGAAAACCATGAATGTATACCTTTATTTTTCGTATAAATACAAATAAAAGCAGATACAAAGAAGATTATAGAGTGGGATTTTCTACATGTTCTGTTAAACCAAGGTTTCCAAATTCTCACAAGTATTGCTACTTCAGTCAGAAAATTCCTTTAAAAATATTTGAAAAGTGTACTTGATAAGTGTCAATCAGGGATTAATTCTGAATATTGAAAAGATTTGTTACGATGCCGTGGGTCCGTCACAAAAAGTGTGTAATAAGGTAAAAACGTTCAAATTTTAAGTGAACTCTACAAAACTTTACTATGTCATTTCAGTCACTTCTATGCGGAGCCCAGTAGTAAAGTAAAACACATATGACGAGTTATTATGGCAACAATTTGTTATAACATTTACAGATTTTTCTTGATTTGTATAAATTTTAATCTAGATTAAATGTACTGTTTCTCGATTGTGCTCGATGACAAAGGAAATAAATTATGCATTGTTCATTCATTTACCTAGAATATGTGCTCGTTACGATATAAGAGTGACTTCATAACATTTAGAATTCTTTTATTTATATTTCTTGATTTTATGTAATTCTCCATTTAAGTTAGTTTTATACACATCATTATCTTCGGCCAGAACGTAGCTATGACCCCCCCCCCCCTTTCCCCTATCTACTCCTGTTTAAAAAGATGTAAAAGATAAAGATGTTATAAAGAAATCCTTTCTTAAAAATGAAGTATAAAACCTGGTATTAAAAAACCGAAATCCTCAAAAACACCTTTTACTTTTCAAGTGGTTATTGATTGAACTGAAAATTCTGCTAATGATATAGTTTGTTATCTGAATTAAAAACTCAATTTCGAAATGTTAAGTATAACAAAAAGCATCTGTAAAATTCAAAACATCCTTATATATTTAGGAAACAAATTGAAAAAAATACATGATTTTTTAAAAACGTTTTTATGGTAAATATGAACACTTGTCAAAAATGAAATATGGTGGCAAACCAAATTATTGTCAATTTTGGGAATAATCTTCAGTCTTCTGAAAATTATTGAGTGCAACAATAATGACATACTTCTAGAATTCTTACCCATTTTCTGTTAAAAAAAACAATAAAAAAAATTCGAATTATTTTCCGTTGCTTTCGTGTTTTAATATCATTTATACATCTAAAAACGTGTTTGACTATTTTTATCGTATCTGTTATGTCATAACACATACCTGTGTAAAATGAATTTTAAAGATTGCATTTTTCATTATTTTTTTCCCCGTGTCACCTGATATATTATGTTGTAATCAAGGTAAACGTTGACGTGTCCAGGTATAAAACTAGTAATAAGAATTAGGTAAGCAGCTGTTTCTAATTCTTCATTTTGTTCTCCGTTTTATAACTGTATGATATCAAACATATTCAAGAAGTTATTGTATATTATGTGTTATTCATAAAAAGAAAATCTGGATTTTTTCTTATTCTATCTTCCTTTTCTGACAAAACATGTGTTCAACAAAATGTCAGATTTATCTGTAATAATTGTTCTGGTTGTAAATTCTTTATTTAATAAAACGTGTTCTTAAGCATGTTTATGTCATCTGAAAATTTGGTATACAACCACTGAATCGACTCTCGATACTGCACTCAGTGGAGGTAATTAGTAAACAAATTACTCGAGGTAAGAACAATATACATTTGTATTGAACATTTTTCCATATAAAATATTAAGATGTGGTATGAAATTGAGATTTTGGGAATTACATAGATAAGTATCAAACTAACACGAACAATTTGCTTCAAAGTGTAGTTATAAGTATTAGCATAATAAATACTTTTTAAATCATAAATGACAGCGTTTCGAGGAAACGCCACTATTTTCCACTCAAATCATATCATCCATTCATTTGACAAAGATAGTGTATTTTCATTTAAATTAGTGTTTACCTACATAAATGGTATATATATCGTACAGTAACAAGAACACAGTTTTCAATGGTTCATGTATGGTATCTATCGTAAATGATTTTGAAATGTATAGTTTAAAATTGAAACTGACAAGTACATTTTTTTTTATATAAAATTCTTTACAACCTATGAAAAGACTCAATAGATCAATTGAACGAATTTGAATGTCGTCTGCATTTAAACAAGTATTTATAGCCTGTTAATAACTACTGAAAGCAAAATGTGCTATAAGACAAGTTAAGTGTAATCATCATTTCTTTTTTATGTACTTTGTGGTTTCTTATTTCTGACGTATTCGATTATCGACTCTGATTCACAAAAGAATCTAAAAGTAATGTCATCTACTGATGTTTGCATGTATAGTGAGTGGCGGGAAAACTTTTTTTCTGGACGTCGGCCTTTATTTTTGCGGGAATTCGGGATAGGGCCTTTATGTTCGCGGAAAGTCGGGATTTACCCTTATCAAGACTCGGGAACTAAAGATTTTTTTTTCAGGAACCGGGAAAAAATGCTTTATTTTTTCGGGAATTCGGGATAACATCCCCTCCTACCGCCCCTCTTAAATTACCAAGATAAACAGTCTGTTTTGTTCATACATTTTGTGTTTTGCTGTCCAGAATTATAATTGTAATTTTGAAAGACCTGAAAAATTGGGTGAGGGGGAGTAAAAGGTTGTACCATTTGCATAAATTGATGTACATATCCAAAGAAAGTCAATGTGCCATTCCCAAGACAATTAATCTCAGTATTTGTTGTATTTGTATCTTTTTAAGTAATTTGATTAAAAAATTTGTTTATCAGTATGCTCTGTTTCAATTAGAATCTAAATAGGTTAAAAGTAAAATGAAGTAGAGCTTGATGCTAGCTAAAGATTCTTTCCATTTCTATTGCTGAAAGTCTTAAATTGGTCGTGACCTCTAGATGCCTTTTCTTGTATCAAAATCGCGTTAGGGATAATTCTGCTTTGATTTAAATCATTTTGGATTGCTGTCACATGTAACTATTGTTTACTTAATTATGCCAATGCATTGTTCTTTATGATATTGTACCTAGATATTTGTATTTGTCATGGAATGTTAGCATACCTTTTTGAAATTGTTACAACCCAAGACAATTTGTAATATCTTATAAACATAGTGTGTTTCTTTCGTATTGGCAAAACTACGCCTGGTAAACGAACACACACACACACACGTTAATATATATTTAAAACCCAACCAGCAAATGTAATATGTACCAGATCGCCTTAAAGGGAAGATACCCTACAAACAGGCAAATTGTTTTGGTTAAAAAATATCAGATTAATATACAACTTATATGTGTAAAAGACCAAATAAACTATGTAAAGAAAAGATTATGAAATAAAAAAAAAGTGAAAACGAAAATATATTTTGAATGACAAATACCCATCATCAATACCAGTTTCCTGATTAGAAAATTGAAACTAAGGAAAAATATGAAATATCCAGAACATAGTGTAGAGATTTAAAAGTGTACTTTTAAAACATGTAAAAGCAGTGTATATAAAGTGCGAATCCAGTTAGTTTATTTTCATTGTTGTATGCGAGTATGTCTATTGTAGAATAAAGGATGATGGGAAAAACTGCGTTTGTTTACTCTTTGAAAATACAAAATAATAGATTTGAATGTATGTTTTAACACAATTTCATTAGAATATAACTTTTTAATGTATAATAACAGGATTTAAGTCCATAAAAGGTACTAAAAGTGTTATTTAAGCAGCAGAATCCATAATATTGATTACTGAATGCGATTCATTTTAACTATAGATGCGATGAATTATCACTGTAAGTGCAATCATTTCTGATGTGGAAGTTTTGGAAGTGCGATGAATATTCATTGTCGTTTTATATGATTATTCGACATTCAACAACTGAAAATAGTTTTTAAATGACTTTAATACTGATAATATTTACAATTTGAAATGCAAGCTAGTCGTAGATGCTTACTTGAATATACACGGGTATAACCACGTTCATATCATGAATATTCAAATATTGTTGTTGAGTTTGCTATTAGCTTGTATGGATCCGAAAATGTACTGGGGCAGAACATCAATGAATATAACGTTTTTCTACGACGAATTTTCTTTGAAAAGTTTTATAACTTGCTTAATAAAGCCTTGAACATTTGTCACGCCGTGTCATATATATTTCTACCGTATTGATAGGCTTTTGCACAACGAACAGTACAAGAATGTACACCGAACGGTACTAAAAAAGAAAACAAACTACAAAGAGAATGAATCGTACAATGTCAAAATTCTGAGGTCAGTTTTTCAAGTATTACTAAATGTCTTCAAATAAAATTAAAACAACGGGTTTCTCATTCGTATTATGTATTTTTACAACAACAAAGCACAAAATACACGGTCGCATTTAATGAAAGAGCCAACCAACTATGCTCAATTTGTAGTTTAATCAAGTTTGAGTTACACATAGTGTTTGTTTCGCGATTTTTACAAGTAATTCACAGACCTGATATACAATGCTGCCAGGAGCAGTAAACTTTGTTTTCATAAACATTGAATACTTAACTGAACAGTTAGTCAATTAGTCTTTGGTGTAAATATAAGAACGGTATATCTACCAACATTGCTTTGCGATGTAGCGATTAACGTCCGGAATCAACTGTGCGGCGGTTATACCCCGTGGTATAGAACCATTTAAACATGTAACAATAAACAGTTTTCAATATTTCTTTGTATTCTCACAATTGCGTATTGGCTTATTTGTAACACCGACTTATAAGAAATTCAAGCATATTTAAGGTGACTCGACTGTTGCTCGAACTTTCTTTACTGTATAAGATTTATACACAATGGCATGATAAATATTAATTATCCAGTCATCCAAGCGTCAATTGTTTTTGTGCAAGATGAAAACGTTTCCACTCATTCAATCGTGAAATGAAGATCGTTTTGTGAATGCTCTTTGTTATCTCAAATGCAGCAATTAGAGCTATTTTCCTAACGCTTGTAGTTTAAAGGTTTGGTTGGCTTGCTTTGTTTGTATAAACGTTTGCTAAATCTTAATAACAATGCTTAGGCAACATTTATACAACCAAGGCCAACCACACCTTTTAACTACAAGCATTAGGAAATTAGCTCTTATGACGTTTAATTTATTAGTATGCAATGTAGATTTAGTCCGACACAGAAACTGTGCTTTTCCGGTGACGTGGATTGGCTTAACTGTCCAAGATATATGTATTTAATGATGACGTGTCATAGGAAAGAATAAATTTTATCCTGCATATAGATCAGGACAAATTATTTGAGAAAATAGAATTGACTATATTAGCAATAGATACCATGTTTAAGGAATTTATTGATATATTACCTCAGACTTTCACTCACTAAGTATGCATATATAATCAATCCTTCTGACTTCATAAAGTTTGTTAGAGAGTCGGCTGAATTAAGACTTTATATAATGAAAATTAATTAATTTCCTTCTGTGAAAATGCATCGCATATACAATAGAAATGAATCGCCCTACAGTGAAATTGAAAGTCTAGTATCATTATTCGCCAGTAAACATGAATCGCATAACGAAAACAGCATAGTGGAATTTGATTCAATATCAACAAGCTGAATAACAAAACCTGTTTTAAGTTAAACAACATTAATAATTATGTTAAAAGGTTCATTTTACTGCAAATGAAACTTAACTGCTACTTTTATATCTCTTGCACGCTCTGTTCGTGAACTATTCTTAATATTTATCTATTTATGTATCAATTTCGCACCTGGATGGATGTAGGCGCGATGAAAACCCGTCCGCATCTCATACCTATATCATGAATTTATTAAAACAGTGCACATTATATATTATTTCTTATTTTATTCAAAACTTGAATCTGTCGTCTGTTTATTTATCAATTTACATCAGAAATTCATCACGGATACAGTAAAAATGACATTTTAGGATTTGCACATTACATACAATGTAAAGTATTTTATCAGTGTCTTCACTTTCAAATAAAAGTATTTATTACACTACCATCATTCAGACTATACAAGTATTAGCATCTAATCATAAAAGAACACAGAATCTGAACTTAAATTAGCATGGATATTATGGCTGAGATTACCAAACTTCAACTTTGCTTAAGGTACTTGCAACTTTATTTGAAACATAAGTAGATACATTGTAATGTTTTGATAGTAACAGTACATTGTACGATTAAAATGGGTTACTGAACGGATGCTACTTTTTTGGAAAAGATTCTATATGAGCGGCTCCGATCCATTGGTAAAAATATAATTTGAACACCTTCATCAACACTGAGACAGAGTGGTTATAATATATATAAAAAGGTTTGAGGAAATTACTATACCTCTCATTCATGTCATTTTCTTTTATAGGAACTTCCAATTATGGCCTCAGCATTATCTTGTGGTCCGTGTTTGTATGATGACGTCGCCGGGGTGGCAAAAAGATGGTGTACTTATTGTGAAGAAGGATTATGTGAAGATTGTGAAAACGTTCACAGGAAAAGTAAAATATCAAGGAATCATAAGGTTATATCAATAGAAGATTATCGCAAGATTGAAAATTTTTCGATCTCACAGGTCTGTGGGCATCACGGAAAAAATCTAGAGTGGTTTTGTACAACTCACGACAAAGCCTTATGTATGGTTTGTGTCACGTCAAATCACAAGTCATGTTCTGGTGTTGTACCAATTAGCGTTGCCTCAACAAATGCAACGCAATCGACTGCGTTAGCTGACCTGGAAGAAACGATTGAGGGAACACTGCTCAATGTGAAACAATGCATAATAAATCGTCAATCCGCTACAAAGGAAATTGAAAAACGAGAATTAGTGGTTAAAACCATTATTCATGAAACTCGGGCAAAAATTAATGGCCACCTAGACAAGCTAGAGGAAAAATTATTACTTGAACTAAGGTCAGCATCTCACACTTGTAAATCGAAATGTGCAAAATTCCTGCAGAATTTAGAATCAACAGAAGACAAGCTCACCAAACTGAGGGAACAAACAATACATATGAAACAATTTTCTTCTGATATACAAGTGTTTCTTGGAACACGTCAAATTAATAATTTGGTCGTAAGCGAGACGGAATCAATTAAGAGTGCCATCGGTACTACCAAGGACAATGAATTAAAAATAGTTTTTCACAACCTAATTGCGAAATTATTAAATGAAGTCAAAGAATTTGGTCAGATTAAAGTCTCAGACTGCGCGACCAGTCTACATTTCAGAGACATAAAAATCGATCAAGCTCAAATAGGGATCACTGTCCCAACATCAAGAAACATGTCCAAGATTAAGCTTCAGGTAATGACATCATTTGATATATTCAAATACAGGAAGCATACAATGAATATTTCAAGTTGTGTTACATTGCCAGATGGTCATTTTTTGATGGCGAATGGGAAGGGAAAGCATTTAATACAGTATAATGATAAAGGTAAACATGTGCGTGCAATTCCGGTCTCTTCCCGTCCATATGATATTACAGTAATTAAACCTAATCGTATTGCTGTGTCATACGGTGACGCAAAGTTCTTAGAAATAATAAATATCAATACCTTTACCGTTGAAAAGAGAATTAAATTACAGGATGATTGCTTTGGAGTATCTGAAGAGGATGGAAGACTTTACGTGGTAGGATACTCTTCAATACAAGTCCTGGATCTATCGGGAAGACAGCTGGAAACACTGAAAATGGAATTGAATGATGTATATTACATCACAACTAGCAAAGACAGGATATTCTACACAGACACGAGCAAAAACAAAGTACATTGTTGTCGTTTGAACGGAGAAGAGTTATGGCAGTTTGAAAGTGAATCCATTCGTTTGCCTGTAGGTATTACAGTAGACAATAAGCAAAACGTGTATGTTGTAGGTCATAGTTCCCGTAATCTTACAGTCATACAACATGATGGGAAGGACAGCACGATTTTATTGACAGTACAAGATGGACTAAATAAACCGAATGATGTGTATTTTGACATAGAAAAAAGAACATTACTTATATGCAACGAAAGGGGACGGGTTACGCTATACAAAGTTAATTAAAACTTTTCAAATCATGTAGGATTAAATTCCTTTTTTGTAGAAACGTTCATACAATATACAACATAAGAACACGATAAACGTTTGATCTGTTTTGTTTTCAAGTTGGATAATAATGTGGCGCGATTAGTGCCCTTCTGTATTCTATGCAATTTTCATGATCACAATTGTACTGACGCTGAATTATTTAAAAATGAGATGAAACAATTGTGCCTCCACACAAAACTTAAGCTAAAGCTTTCTCAATCAAATTTAAACGGATTATTTTCCCATTCTATCTAGGTTTTGTCTAAATACTTACATTGTATTATTCGACTGTTTTTATTGCGTTAAGCACTCAAAGTAGCAGTTGATGTGATTTAATGCTTGAATTGATGGTTTGGGTAACACAAACAGTAATTTAACCCCGACACACCTTCGTGTGTCTATCTTAACTCAGTGATGTCTTTAATTTTTATCTTTAATTGTAAATGTCCTTTATGGACTTGGTGGTGACTGTAAATTTTTTAGAGTCTCTTTTAAATTTATAATTATACACCATTTTTGTAGACTCAAAATCAAACACCGCTTATTCTATATATATAACTATTGGGTTTAAACCTTATCTTTGGGATCAATATATAAAGGGACATGAAACAAATTTTTTTCAATTTCATTTCCCCCTAAAATTCGTGTTGCTAAGTCTTTAGTTTTCTATGTTGTGTCATCTGTACTATTATTTGTCTATTTGTCTTTTTATTTTTGGCCATGGCGTTGTCAGTTTGTTTTCGATCTATGAGTTTGACTGTCTCTCTGGTATCTTTCGTCCCTCTTTTACATGCAAAAGGCTGTTAATGGGGCATTGCTCTGTTCAAGCAGTGGTCTATTATTTTTCAAACTTCTCTTAGGATTGCCTATTGATATGGTAAAATTATATGCCATTGAAAATGAATGATTGTAGGATGGCAGTGGATAGTTTTCATGTTTATAATTTCAATATCTAGTTGTTACTCTGATGTCAAAAGTATGAGGATTCATGTAATTTTCTAGGATTTTGAAAGGTGCATTATTTTAACATCGTTTTCCCCCTGATATATAATTTATCTTTAATAATTTGTATATGTATATGTATGGAAAGAGAAGGTTTCATAGAGTGCCTTGGTGTAATTTTCATATAATTTTTATTTCATTTTTTTTTTTAGAAAAAAAGCATTGCAATGTATCTTTATAAAGAATTTTAAGTTATTAACACACATTTCCTATGTCTTAATATACAAACACCATGTGCAATTAAATGGGAAATAAACATATTTAAACTTTATTGCAGTTTAGACAGACAATTAAGTTAATGTTACACACTTTTGTTTATTGTCTCAAGTGAATCAGTGATCATTGTGAACCAATCATGGATTAGTTTCAGATCAATTATGAACTGATGTATGTCTCGACTGCTTCGTCGCAGAATGCGAGATATAAGGATTACAATCCGGTAGCGGCGGCGTAAACTATTTGTTTAAAGCTTTATATTTCAGAAGGTAGAAGACCTGGATGTTTCATATCTTAGTTGCAGATGCCTTGTGTTACGAAGTCTCCCGTCTTTATATAACCATTGTCCTTGACCTCATTTGCATGGTTAAGCGACTGTTTCAAAAAAAAAGAGTTTTTGGTGAAATATTCTCTTAATGAGTACTAGGATAACTATATTTGGTATATAGGATCTTAGCAAGGTCTACATGTCTGTCAAACAGGGTTCGCCTGACCTCGTCCTCATTTCATCGATCAGTGATCAAGGTTAAATTGTCATGGTCAATTCCGTATCTGATACTACAAGCAATAGGTCAACCATGTTTGGGTGTAGAATGATTGCAAGGTGTACATGTCAGACTGTCAGGTTTCATCTGACCTTGAACTTTTTTCATGGTTCATTCAAGAATGTTACTTTTTCCCGGTTTAGTCTATTTCTCATATACCATAAGCAAAAGGGCCAATATTTATTGTGTAAATGGAATGATTGTAAGGTGTTCATGTCTGTTTGGTAGATTCATCTGATGTCCTTGTTCTCATGGTTCATTGGCCAAAGTTTTCGTGGTTTTGTCCATTTATCGGATGTAACTATAATTTGTGTATGGAATGAGTGTTAGAATATGATTGATTTTTGATTTTTGGTGTTTTAACGCCACTTTTGGGCTATTTCGTGGCGGCCAGTTTTTATTGGTGGAGGAAGCCGGAGAGCCCGGAGAAAACCACCGACCTTTGATAGGAAAACTGACAATCCTAGTCAATTAAGATTGTAGTCGAGTGCACCCGCACGAGCGGGGTTCGAACTCACAACCTCAGTGTTGACTGGCTAGTGATTACAGTAGTAACTACTTAGACCACTCGGCCACCGAGGCCCCTGTTAGAATATGTCAGTCTGCTAGAGTTCATCTGAACTTTATCTCATTTTTATGGTTCTCGTTGGTCAATGTTAGGTTTTTATGTTTATGTCTCTTTCTCAGATACTATAATCAATCGATCAATTATATTTGATGTATGAAATGACTGCATGGTGTTCATGTTGTATGGCAGGGCTCATCCACCTTTGGTCTCATTTTTCTGGTTCATTGGTTAATGTTCAATTTTCACAGATTGATGTTTCTTAGATACGATAAGCAAATATCTGACTATATTTGGTGTATGATATGAAATTCAATCAAAATAAGTTAAGCACACGACCCATTTCAGCGTGTGCACTCTTGTACAAGTAGAATAGACCCCGCTTGCATTCCTTCAGTAATACCGAATCTGTTTTTAAAACACCTTTTCTAAAAAAAAAAAAATAATCCATTATATGTATTCCTTATATAAGCCATAATAATTTTATGTAGTGTAGATTGAACGTTACAAGTAAATAAGAAGCCATGGGACATGAAAAAATCAAAGTTATTGTTGGATACTAGCAATTTCCAATTCCATCAGGTAGTAGTCCAGGTTATATTGACCTCTTCAAGTTTATGTGTCATTTGTTTATACCTTAATGACCAAAACCCCACATCTACGTTTATTCATATCCAATGTTTGACTTAATTTAGTAGAACATTTTATAAAGTTTTTGAACTATCTATTTAATAAAGAAACTAGAGACTCTAAGGAGCCTGTGTCGCTCACCTTGGTCTATGTGCATATTCTCAACAAATGACACTCTCCAACATAGTAGACGAGAATAGAATTCATGACGAAAAATTGTTTTGTTGAGCTTATATTGCTGATCATTTAGTCAGTTTAGTTTCTCTCTATCTTTTTTAGTTTTTACTCAACACACAAAAGTGGGTAAAAAAAATCGCCATTTAAGGGCAATCAATCCTATAAAGAGTGACAGTCTACTAACTATATCGGCAAAATTTTACTTGTTAGTAGATCTTGGCTTGCTATCATGTAAGGCAAAACGTAAAAAATTGGTAAAAATCGTCATAATAGGGCAATAACTCCAATAAGGAGTCGTCAGAAGATTTCCTGCCTTTGTCTTAATTGTAGATCTTGTATTGCTGATCATTTTTGCTTATTTAAGTTTCTATCTATCTATTTCAATTTTTAAGATATAAGACAAAAACGCAAATAATAGGTAAAAATCGTCATCAAAGGGCAATTACTCTAATAAGGAGTCGACTGACGATTCCAACTATGAGACTTATTTGTAGAACTTGTCTTGCTGATCATTTTTTTAGCACTTTAAAGTTTCTACCTATTTTAGTTTTCAAGATAATAAGCAAAAATGGTAAAATTTGTCATTTAAGGGCAATAACTCTATAAGAAGTCGTCCAACAGTTTTGAAGTAATTAGACAATTGGCAGACCTCAACCTTTTCAACATTTATGTTCAGTCAGATTTTCTCTATTTGTAACGGTTTTCAAAATAATAGACAAAACTTGCATTTTACCCCTAGGTTCTATTTTTAGCCATGTCGGCCATCTTGGTTGGCAGGCGGGATCATCAGACACATTTTTTGAAACTATATACCCCAAAGAGGATTGTGGCCACGTTTGGTTAAATTTGGCCAAGTGGTTTCAGAGGAGAAGATTTTTGGAAAAGTTAACAGACGACGACGGACACAAAGTGATGAAAAAAGCTCACTTGGCCCTTTTGGCCAGGTGAGCTAAACAGGCATAAGACCGAGAGAGTTATCAATAGAAGCAACATTCAATCAAAATTAAATCCGTTTAGCATATTCAAGAAAAGTTAAATCTGAAAATATTATATTGGAAATGCTTGAAATTGTCAGAATTCTGTTAATGTATGGGTCAATTCAGTCATTTTGGGTTGGAAATGATTGAATTGATTTTTTACTGAAATAAGTAAATGTAAACACATTTCTCGTTTTTTATATAGATTAGACCGTTGGTTTTCCCGTTTGAATGGTTTTACACTAGTAATTTTTTGGGGCCCTTTATAGCTTACTGTTCGGTGTGAGCCAAGGCTCCGTGTTGAAGACCGTACTGTGACCTATAATGGTTTACTTTTATAAATTTTGACTTGAATGGAGAGTTGTCTCATTGGCACTCATGCCACATCTTCTTATATCTACATAAATGTAATTTATTTGACAATATTACTATAGATATATTTCATCAGTAATATTCTTAGACAGATATTTGAAAGACAAGGATTTATAAGAACCAAAACAGTTGAAGAGCTATATGACAAAAAGGCCAACAAATAATAGCTAAATCCATCTTTGCCTGAGGGAGTTGAAACCTCATTTCTTTATTATTTATAAACAGACAAATTAAGAGAGGTTTGTAATAAATCAAGTCAGTACCGAAGTACTGACTACTGAGCTGATGATTCCCTCAGGGACTGATAGTCCACCGGCAGCCCTATCGCCAACAACCCGACCAAAGAGCAGAATACAACCGAAAGCCACCAATGGGTCTTCAACACAGCGCACACGGTGGCGTGCTCCAGCTGGCCCCTAAACTAAAATGTGTACTAGTACAGTGATAATGGACGTCATACTAAACTCCAAAACATATAAATGATCTCAAATTAAAAATCATACAAGACTAAATAAGGCCAAAGGCTCCCGACTTGGAACTGGCGCAAAAATGCGGCGGGGTAAAACATGTTTTGTGGGATCTCAACCCTCCCCCTATACCTCTAGCCAATGTAGAATAACGAAACACATAGCAATACGCACAGTAAAACTCAGTTTAAAAGAAGTCGGAGTCCGATGTTAGAATAGGTAACAAAAAGATAAATGACAATGACACATAAATTAACAAAGGACTACTAGCAGTTACTGACATGCCAGCTCCAGACCTCAATTAAACTGATTGAAAGATTATGTCTTCATCATATGAAAATCAAGCACAATCCCTCCCGCTAGGGGTTTAGTATCATACCATCATAAAATATATGAGAAGAACATAACCCGTATCAAGTAAACAACTGCTTTTAGAATAAAAGTGTTTATTTCCGATGCAAAGACCCCGAGTGAATCAACAAAACCAAAATATGCCATCTTTAATGACAACAGTATCGTAACTATATCCCTTTTTAATAATTCTGTTTAAAGGTTTGGTTAGCTTTTGCGGTGAATGCCGACATTTTTGTGCTTGGTAAAGAATATTACCATAAAAGATTGGATGTGAAATACCTGAACGTATAAGATGTCTGCATGTTGATTTATATTTACGAATGATGTCCTTGTACCGATGATAAAAATAAGTAAATGTTTCGACTAGTTTGTGATATCGAAAACCCTGGTGTAATAATTTTTCAGTAAAATATTATATAAATGCATTTGAGGCGCTTTTCTGGATTTTATGGCATATAAATTTCTATTAAATAGTCTTATGGTAGTAAACTGTTGTATGCTGAGAGTAAGAGCCTCCTAATGACATTTTAAATATTATCATAGATATAAAGCTTAAGACTAAAGTCTAAAAAAATGGTTTAAGGTTAAGGGAACACAGAAAAGCCCTTTGGACTGTCCAAATTCATGTTATTTCAATTAAATTATTTAGTTAATTTTGTTTCATGATGGAGTTTGGTATTGCTGGAAGATAGCTGATAGTATCTGATTATTCAGATACACATTTCTAGACTTCGGGCAAAATCAGTTGGACATATTGCAAGTAGTTTTGTACATATTTGAAGACAGTAGGTTGACTTTTAGATGCATTGATTATTTGTAGCATTTAGTCACTATCTCACTAGAATATAGTATAGCCCACATCTACTTTTATTCATACATTATTATATCCCACAGGTTATGTTTTTTCTATGTATGTTGGCGTTTGTTTTTGTTGCAGTTCAGTGTTTCTGTTGTTCCATTGTTTTCCT